GTTTCATTCCATTTTGGGTTGGTGTACTTATTTTGTGGGATATTGAATGTGCAATAATTTAAATTTTGTAATATTTTTTTGATATGAAATGAATAAATATTTGATAAGAGCACTAACCACGCAATAGCCACTGTCTTGGTTCAATTTCTCCATGATGACATTTATTGAACATGGGGTCATCCAAACGTTCATGTTTATCAATGATATGACTCAGAAATGACTTGAATTTAGCCCACATGAGCTTCCCACCCCCAGTTATTGTCGAGGTCACACTCCAGTAGAAGTGGTTTTGGCAAGGGYGTATCCATGGCTTGAGGGATTCACAGCCACTTAGCTTCGAAATCTTTGTAAGAACTTTGCCAATTTCTAGGAGAAATACATATGATTAGTGCATTGTTGCTGTATACACCCACATGCATGTGTCACTGAGATACACTATATGTCAATCTGGATTGAAWGACAACAGTTTTGCTGGGACATTGTAAAAGTATGCACTACCAAGAAAATAACCACATGTATGAAGATTTCAATTCCCTKTCCACCTACTTTTTTGTATATGCCATAGATCAAAATAGTGCTTGATGTTTGGGAGTCTCTCCCTCATGTGCTTGGCAATCGACGTATGTCTGTCTGTTATGAGGACACCAATTGACATTCCGACACCCAAAAGGAATTGCATGCACTGTTGGAATCCATGGTACTCCATGCCAGTGCTATTGCCAACCTCATTTCTCTGTGGAGAAGAGTATGGCATTTCATACATTAAAAATACTGTATAAAAATGACAATTGGAAACAATCATTGGTACAATCATAGTCAAATAATAAGTTTCACATATTCCAACACGAACACTTTTCATTAGTAATGGGTAAAAATCATACCTGTACAAGGGCAAAGTGAATAATAGCAGGTGTACAACAACAGAACATAGTATAAATGCCATATTTGGCACTGTGGCCCATGCTGTCATGTCGTGCATCTCCGCCKATAACTARRGGTTTCTTTTTGTCAAGCAATTTGCCCAGTAGATCTGTCTGATATGTTTTCCAGYGAAGATAAATTGCAGGAAAAAGCTTTCTCTGYTGGTTGATAAGAAAAATGCATTCATTTTACTATAATTGCAAGAGGAAAACAAACACATGAAAACAATACAATTATTACAGTTACAAATTCATTTCCTGAAAATAAGACTGGTAAAGTTGATATAATTGGATACCCATTTCTTATGCATAATTCACCTGTTGATGAACGAAGAAGGTCTTGAGTGTAAAGCAGCAAAGGCCCATGTTTGAGAATATTTGTAGCACTTTACTGGCTGACCCACCAGCGACAAGAATGGCAAACRACAGAAGAAAGTTTCCAGCAGGCATCTTTGTCCCTGGTAGCATTGGCTGGCTACTCCAACGATGTTCTCTCTTAGGGCATTTAGGATTGGAGCAAGATGTTGTCACAGTRACCATAGTACCTGTAGCTTCTGTTTCAATGAGGGGATTATCAGACTTGCAAGTGGGGCAGAAATTGAAGAGTAAAAGTAGTTGGCTGATAAACACTATATACTTGGGTTCTGTTCGGAGGTTCCCACTCGTGCTGCTCCTGCAAATGA